ATATGATGGTTTAGTTTCTAATTCACATTTCCATTTTATTTTTACTTTGTTTCGGATATATTAACTGGGCCACAAAAATGTTCATCTCGGGCCGCAAGTTTGACACCCCTGATCTAGATTGTTGATCTAGTTACTTTTCATACTCACTCAACAGTTCGTATTTTTATTTCTCATTCGATTTCTAGTGTTTCCTCTTTCTGGGTTGCGAAGAATACATTTGCAATTGTACTTTCCACTCCACAGATTTATAGTTTCTTCTCTGCATACAAATTCATTATTTTCTGAGACTAAATTGATGCGTAATGAAAACAATTTCTTCATTTAAAACCTTGCTTAACGATTGCATTGCATCCTCGAAATAAATGTTTAGTTAATAGTATTCCTTCAATAATTGGTTATCAACCAAACTTTTAACTTATTGACTACTAATGGTTAGTTTAATTGTGAAAGTGTGGTAATAATTATTTTTTCCTCATTTTGTTATTGACTTATCCACAAGTTCAAAAAAAAAAATCAATTTTAATTAATGGTTAATTTAATGAAGTTAATTTTTAATAATAATTTTTTAAAAATAATTTTTGAATTTAATTATTCGATTTTTTTGAATTCATTTCTTTAAATTTGTATTAGGGTACATTAGTATTATGATTTGTGTTTAAATTTACGCGTCGTTTTACCATTCATAAGAATTTTCTATAATTAATAAATTTTAAAAGTTCGCAAACGGTCAAAAATTTGAGAAAATTAATATACCACAACAGAAATACAGTCTAGAGTATTGTCTCTTATTTGGGGGCAGTGGTGAACTGTGCTCAGTAATTGCCTAAATTATAACCCCCTATGCTGATTGCGCTTCTAGTTAGTTACGCTTCTATGTTCTCTCTTCTCATTGGCATGTGAGGAGTGCAATTTATAAGAGTCAAGCACTATTTTGGTAACCGGCTTCTACTTGGCCGAGAAATATATCAAAATATATTATGCCAAGTTATTAAATTTGAGATATTGCAATCGGGAGTAGATTCAAAATTAGAATAAAATACATTTAAAAATGCTTTATTGAAGCATTAAACGAACTATTCTCAGCAAATTTAAAAAATGCTTTAAAATCTTACTCTTTTTTTTCTTTTATTTTTTTTCCTTACATATATTTATAGATATTTTTATTTCACGATTTTCTCACAAATTTAGCATAGGACATTATTTATAAAATTAATTAATAGATACTTACCTTCTGAATTTTTTTTGTGGAATAAGAAGAGGTCTCCTCATACAGTAACTTACTACTTATCATTTTAAAAATCCTTTCAGAATTTTTATTTAATGATAATTTTAGGGCAAAATGCATAGATTTTATGAGAGTAAAATCATTCGCTTAAATATTTTTATATAAATATGAGTGTTTGCATAAATCTTTGTCTAATTTATAAAAGTCAGTCAGTTAGATTTAACAACCTTAAGAAAGATTTTTTAAAAAAAATTTTGTTAACTTATCCTGGGACGTATAGCTATGCCTAAGAAAATTGATGCTTAAATATTTTATTTCTTTATTCATTTATTATTATTATATTTATTTATTTAAAAATTTGAGAAACTAATAACACAACAGAAATACAGTCCAGAGTGTTGTCTCTTATTTGGCTATTCGGGTAAGAAGTCAACGTTTGTTATTTTTTGGGCAGCATGAGTTCGTTTATTGTTTGTTTCGTTGCAAGTTAAATTAAGAGAAAAAAGGCATTATTTGTAAACACTACTAGTATAATAATATTGGATAATCAGCCTTTTTATTCTTAGGGAAGTAAGTCTTAATTTTTATTCATAATGAATTTTAACCCCCCGTTGTCAACTGTCCTTCGCTTCATATGGTTATCCCTCCATACAATGAGAATGTTTGAATTCATTCAGGATTAAATCTTATAGTTCATGTATAAGAGTGATAAAAAAGAAAGAAAACTTACAGGAGGGGGTGGCGGAGAGTGGAGAGGCGCTCTTCCAGGAACTGAATCCTTTGACGTTGCCGGCTGAGACCCTCACGAAATACGTGCTTCCTTGGGTGAGGTCCGGTATCATCAACTCTAGCTTCTGAACGTCTGTAACTTCACGGCAACCGGACAGCAGAGAGAAATCCTCGTAGCAGCTCCATTCCACTATACAATAGAACAAGTTTTCTTCACTCATTACTTTGGCTTTTTTTTTATTTGAGAACGACCCATGTATCGTGCGTGGGAAAATGTTATTATTTTTTCATATTTCTTTCACAATAAAAACATTTTAAATACCTTGAACTTGAAGCAAAGATACCATTTTAAAACTATAATAATAATATAAGTGTCTACAGTCTATATACGTACAGTCTATATATATATANGTTGCTCCAAATTTTATATATATATATATATATATATATATAAAATTTGGAGCAACATGCATATTTTAGAGAGGGAATAATGAAAAAAAACCTTTATATTTGGTGACAATGCTCTCTTCCTGTTGAGAAGTTTGTGGTTGAGTAAATTTCACTTTCAGGGATCTTGTGCCAACTACTTCCAACTGAACACTCGAGGGTGGATCAGGAGGTTCTGCAAAAATAAATGACTCATAATATAATAAAAGCAAAACGGAAAAAAAAAAAAAAAAAAACGAAAAAAAANTCTGAGGGAAAAAAAAAAAAAACGCCTTGAGAACTTTTGATCGCACGTTCGCAATTTTGAATATAATTCCCTTGCTTCTTAATTATAACGATAACGTTAATTTTAATTTATTGGATAATAAGTATTCAAAAAATATCTGCATTGTTGATTTATAAGATGAAAGAAATTATATTAAATTTAATATAAATAAACTAATCACAGGGAATTCTAATGCTTCTGAAAACCAAGGGTGCCAAGCTAAATAAATGCCAACACTGAACTTAATTTGACTAATTAACACGTTTCTGCGTTGTTCAGCAGAATTTTCAGAAAAAAAGCTCACTGACAGCAAAATGCAGCTTTCCACGAGAATGGTCCCTATTTATTTTATTGGTCTATTTTTACAGCAAACATAACAGTTAACGTACCAAAAACGTACAGTAACCACTAACTTTTTCTTGAAGTCATTCATACCTTCATTTATTTTTTACTTCATCATTATTAATTTTTTACCTCAGTTCTAAAAAATTTAATTAAAAAAAAAAATCTTAATTTAAATTTTCCCAGCATTTCGAAACACCAAGGAGGGAAATATAGCAATAATTATGAAAAAGTAGTATTTTTATATACTTTTAATAGAAAATATATGTTAATTTTTTTTTAAAAGGAAAAAAAAAAATTCGAAAAATTTTAAAAACAAATTGAAAATTGATAGTAACTGTAGCACTAAATTAAGACCAGACTTTTTCTCAAGACTGATTTCAGTCCTGAGGATTGAAGAGTGGTGGAAAACATTTATTTATATACCATTTTTTATCAAATAAATAAAATTAAAGGACTTTGTAGTAACGTTTGTTTATAAAAAAAGAAGAAAAATAGATGAACATTTTCAAAATTTCGAAAAAAAAAAGGTTATCTAACTAACGTAATTAAATTCCATATAAAATCATTGCGTTAATTGTATGCAATAGTTAAAAATTTCTCTGTTAACTAAATTTATAATTTCTCTAAAATCATCAATATAAAATAAACTATAATTTAATTATAATTAAATTACAGTTATTATAATTACAATTATTTATAATTAAAATTCAGCCGTATTAATTTCTTTTATAACCGTCTGTGAACAGCCGACCCAATTTTTGAGTTTACGACTACTAACGCTCAACTCCGCAGCCTTGTTATTTTGAACCCAATCCAGAAGACAAGGGAACTCCTGGATCAAGTATTGGGAGGAATTTTCCTTCGTTGCTGACTTTTTGGTGAAACTAACACGCATTTGGGTTACATGGAGTGGAAAACCATGAAAACCTCCCTCGGTGAGTCTGACGGCAAAGGTTCTCGAACCCATGATCCGTCTACTACTGATGATATTTCACGTCAGTACTATGGTCGGTGCAAGCCGGATGCGGATTCGTATCAACCAGCCATCGCCGGGATTCGAACCTGGTTCACCTCATTGGAAAACGAATGCTCAATCCCCCAAGCCACCGCGAATAAATTAACTTTGAATCAATGATTTGAGTCCTTATGATTGAAAGTCATAATTGAGGATGTTTTATTTTTCCCAATTTAACGTCCTCTAATAAACCTATTAACTTCTTTCCACATTTTCGTATTTTTTTGGCCAATGATCAGTGTAATGAATAATAAAAATGGCTAGTTTATTTATCAATATTACCTGATAAAAATGGTTAGTTTATTTATCAATTTAAATAATCATTAAATTAATGGTCACCAACGGTCACATTGTGACTAAGTCTACTAAATGGCGATCAGTCATCACCAGTGCGTCACTCTTTTTCATTGAAAATGCATCCCATCTGCATTTTATTATTATTATTTTTTATTATTGTTATTATTTTGATATTATTATTATTTTGCGTTTTATTATTATTATTATTATTTATTTATTGAACTCTCAGGGGATAGAGCGTTCGCCTTCCAATGGCGTGAATCGGGTTCGAAACCCAGACATGGCTGATTGATACGAATTCCGCATCCGGCTTGCTCTGCCCACAGTGCTGACGTAAAATATCCTCAGTGGTACATGGATCACGTGTTAGAGTCCCCTTGCTATCATACTAACAGTGGGAGTTTCTCGTGGTCTTCCTCTTCATGTAAAGCAAATACGATTAGTTCCATCAAAAAGACCTCCACGGAGGCAACTTTCGCCCAATACTTGATCCAGGAGTTCCCTTGTCTTCTGGATTGAGTTCAAAATTACAAGGCCACGGAGTTGAATATCAGTAGCCGTAAACTCAAAAAATTGGGTCGGCTATTCAACGACGGTTATAAAATAAAATAATAGTCTGAATGTTACTTAATTTCGAGCTTGTTTCTTGCGATTTTTCTTCATTTTTGAAATGACTCTTGAAATATTTATTAGATTTTGAAGAATACAACAAAAGAAATGTCTTTCATTATTAATTTTACACTTTCGAAAAAGCAGCCTAATTTTGACCTGATGACGAAGGTCAGACCTAGTTTCCAGTGCTATTTTCGCTTCATTTCCGAGGTCTGCGCGCTCGCTCAGAGTTTCATTATGCGTCTGGTGCATGATGCGTTATTGTTTAAAAATGGTGAGTTGAAATTTCAATGCTAATTCAAAAGACAGCGGAATTTATTCCATTATTTACGCCATTGTTTATTCAGATAAAAGTTTTTTTTTAAAAAAACTATTGGCGCAACCGTTACGGGTGCAGTTATTGACAATGAGTTTTCTTTGAGTCTCTCTTTCAGAAGTGAAGTTTCTTTTTAATGTTTGTTTTATATTTAACGTGTCGAGGAAAGTGAAAATGGGTCAATATATCAATTTAGTTTCAACAAAAAGAAAATGGCGGTTTAATTTCGGTGTTGAATTTATTTATGCAGGATATTTAAATTAATATTCTATATCAGTGTTTCCCAAACTTATGACTTTTGTGTACCCTTTCTAAATTTTTCGTGGCGCTGTGTACCACTAATAAAAAAATGAATGCATTTTTTACTATAAAAATATTGCACAGAAGTTAAAAATCACAACTGGCTTTTGACACCACTAATTAGTAACTGTTAACTCTGCAAAAAATAGCCAATAGAAAAATACGTAATCGTAAATTTTCATGGCTAGTTTTGTTTTTAAGTAAAACTTTTTGAAATTCTTGTTTGTTGCAAGTTATTTCGCATAAGAACGCGTACCCCCGCTAAACTGTTCCCGTACCCCTGGGGGTACGCGTACCACACTTTGGGAAACACTGTTCTATATGGTGGTAACTGGCTTTCATTTGAAAAAAAGAGGAAAAGAAAAATACTTCGAAACAGTTTAATTTTATATCTCATTGCAAAATATTAACAAACGCGAAATATCAGATTTCGCGAAATATCCGATACTGCGATTTTGCGAACGCGAAATATTCGATCCGAAATATCCGAGATTTTCTTAAAGTGGTAACAAAATCTATACTTGAATGTTTTTTTTTCTTCATAGCTGATTTATAATGATTATTGCCACTACTAAATCTATAATATTTAAACAAAATAATACTTATAAATTAATAGAGACAAAAATAATTTAAACATTTAAATAATTTAAACAATTAAATAATTTAAACAATTAAATAATTTAAACAATTAAATAATTTAAACATTTAAATAATTTAAACAATTAAATAATTTAAGCAAATATAAATAATTTAAATGGGAAATATTTTGTACAAAAGTTCTTATTTTTTTTTTACAAAATATTTGCTTAATTCCTGATTACTAATTCAACTGTTATTTTGCTACAAGATTTTTATTTTTTCATCAGATGCCTAAAAACGCCCTTCATCTGCGACAAAATAAACACTCCAGAAAGGTTATACATTAATATTTTAATAAATAAGAATTAAAAGACAGGTTTAAACACATGTTTCAACTACATGTTTTAACAGATATATAAATGGATAGATATAGTCATATTTTTAAGTTTTATAATAATTCTATTCGTTTAAGTTTGAATATTAACATTATTTTGCAAAAATTTCAAATCTTGGTGGGTTATTTAAAAAATGTGATTAAAAAGAGGCTGTCATTTTACTCAATACAGAGCTTAAAAGACAAGATGGTAAAGACTTAGAATAAAATAAAATTAACTATTTAGGTATTTAAATTTTAATATATATGAAAAGAAACAAGCATAATTTGTTGAGGAATTACAAATAATTGAGTAATGAAAATAATTTAATCATATTTTTTAGGTATTTTTATATTTCAATTCAAAATATTCATCGCTAGCAACAAAAATGCTAGGCTAAAAAAGGCGAATAATTTCGCTTAATGAAGAAATAGTAATAATCAGGTTTAGGATGCTGATGATGTGAATGCATTATTTTATTTATGTTATTTTGCGTTTTTTTCCCATTACAGAGCTTTATAAAATTTTTTGTTCATTTTTATGAATTTTGAATGATAAGTTTAATTTAAAAAGCAATTTTCTTCTGAATTAAGTTTTTTCTTTACAAATCAGTGTAAAATTCCGCTACAATAAATTTTGAATTTCAACAAAGTTTTCAAGATATAAAATTTTTTCTTTCGGACAAGTAGGAAATCCTTTAATTTGTAAAAAAACAGAAACATTTAATACTGCGATATCGATGTCCCTGAAGGTAGTAACTAAAAATTATAGCGTTTTTATTAATGAGTTATTTATTTACATTTTATTTTATTTATAAATTACATACTTATTTTAATTATTACTTTCTTTTTTATTAAATTTATATATGCAAGTAACGATTTGCAATTTCAAAAATTTTTTAATATGAATCCTAATTTCTAAAATTTCTTTTCATTTTAGGGTTTTTAGAGGCTATTATTAGGGTGATGGGAAATGTAAAAAATTACATTCATCATCACTCTAATAATATGTATATTTATAACCGTCGTTGAACAGCCGACCCAATTTTGGGCTTACGACTGCTCATGTTCAA